AGGCGTATCGGTATCGCCCCCCCCCCCCCCAATAGCTAGCAATCCAAAACAGTCCAGTGGAACCTGAGCGGTGGGTGTTGCCTTCTGACACACTTCCGGTGATGCCAGGGGGTGTGGCATATGCAAATGAGTTATGCTAATGAGCTCCTGCCCCTCTTTTTCTACGAAATGACCCCTGGATGGAGGTATGATTAAATACTAATGCAAGATGAGCATTTATCTAGCACTTTGCCGCCCTGACTAGCCCTCTCTTGTTAGATCTGGGAAGCTAAGCAGGGTTGGCCCTAATTAGAACTTGGATGGGAGACCACCGAGGAAGGTCAGAGTGGCTACACAGAGGCAGGGAATGGCAAAACCACCTCTCTGTCTCTTGAAAACCCCACGAGTAGCCATCAGTCGGTTGTGACTCAATACATTCCACCACCAGCACTCTGGCATGAGTTAAGCTATTATTGCAGTGCAGACAAGACTCAGGGTATTGTGTCCTATTGCTGTTCTACAGGGAAGAGGCAACATTGGTCAGGGGCTTTTGTCTTGAGCCCCCTTCCCCCCAGCAATGCTGGTTTCAGGCTACCGAAAGAGAGTGCCTCCGCATTCAGAGGCACTAATCCTCTGAATCCCAGAGACAGGAGGCAGCATCATAAGAAGCCCTCAGCCTCTCTGCCCTGTTGTTGCCTTCCGGAGGAACTGGCTGGCCACCGTGCAAGACAGGAGGCTGGACTAGAGGGACCCTCACTGGTCTGATCCAGCAGGGCTCTTCTGAGGTTCTTCTCAGGGGAAGGCCTCGTCCTCTCTGCCCTGTGGTTGGCCCTCCAGAGGAACTGGCTGGCCCCTGTGAGAGACGGGAGGCTGGACTAGATGAACACTCCCTGGTCTGATCCAGCAGTGCTCTTCTGAGGTTCTTCTCAGGGGAAGGCCTCAGCCTCTCTGCCCTGTTGCTGGCCCTCCAGAGGAACTGGCTGGCCCCTGTGTGAGACGGGAGGCTGGACTAGATGGACACTCCCTGGTCTGATCCAGCAGTGCTCTTCTGAGGTTCTTCTCAGGGGAAGGCCTCGGCCTCTGTGCCCTGTGGTTGGCCCTCCAGAGGAACTGGTCGGGCACTGTGTGAGACAGGAGGCTGGACTGGATGGACACTGCCTGGTCTGATCCAGCAGTCTTCTGAGGTTCTTCTCAGGGGAAGGCCTCGGCCTCTGTGTCCTGTGGTTGGCCCTCCAGAGGAACTGGTCGGGCACTGTGTGAGACAGGAGGCTGGACTGGATGGACACTCCCTGGTCTGATCCAGCAGTGCTCTTCTGAGGTTCTTCTCAGGGGAAGGCCTCGTCCTCTCTGCCCTGTGGTTGGCCCTCCAGAGGAACTGGTCGGGCACTCTGTGAGACAGGAGGCTGGACTGGATGGACACTCCCTGGTCTGATCCAGCAGTGCTCTTCTGAGGTTCTTCGTGTGAGACAGGAGGCTGGACCAGATGGACCTTCACTGGTCTGATCCAGCAGGGCTCTTCTGATGTTCTTATGGTGCTTGTGGAATAATAATATTAATAATAATAATAATAGAAGTAAATGTTTTAGAATTCACCTCCTGGAGCATTCAAAGGCCACTGCAGCAATGGCTGGCCACGCTGTATTAGAAGAACCCTTTACTGCCCTACATTTGGGGCTGGCTTCTCTGAACAGCAATTAAGCCAGCAGCTGCACCTACTGGAATCGCTTCGTTGTTGGTGCCGCTTATTTTACCTGCGCGATGAGGCCTGAGACCAGCCCACTCCGGTGGCTTTTCCCTTCCCCATCTCTCAACCAGGGGCTGGTGGTGATGTCTGCAGAGCTGGAGGAGGTGGTGAACAGCATCTTGAAAGGCAAAATCCCAGGCATGTGGATGAACAAGTCCTACCCAAGCCTGAAGCCCCTCGGAAGCTACGTGAACGATTTCCTCGCCAGACTGAAGTTCTTACAGGTGAGCATCTCCAACTGTGCATACCGTTCCACCTGCTGGGATTTTAATGGCTTCCAAATGACATTTGTACAGCTGCGCGCACTTCCTATGACGTTATGTCCCTGGTCATCTGTGCGTGTAAAAAGGAACCCACCAAATCAGGCTGTTTCCATTCACTTCACGGAGAAACCAGCTCTACATCGAAACTTTTGCAGGGCCGACCGCCAGCTGGGAGAAGGGAAATGGTGGCACCGGGGGCTCAGACATTTGAATTCGGGGCTGCACGGACAGCCTTCCTTGGAACACGGGCACCAAGCCCTCAGATCAAAACATGCAAAGTATAACTCAGATTGCAGAACCATCTTAACAAACCTGAGGAACGGGCTTCTTGGTTTGGGAGACCGGAGCTGTGACCAACGCTCCCTCTAAGCTGTGGAGTCTTGTGAGGGAAAATTCTACTTTGTGAGCTCCTGGCATTAAAGTTGTGAGCGAGCGGTTTGGCTACTGTATAGTTTTGCTCTGGAGCCCTCCTTCCTGAGCTAAGGCAAAAATGTGTGAGCCGGAGGCTAAAAAACTGTGAGCTAGCTCACACTGACTCAGCTTAGAGGGAACGCTGGTTGTGACCCGCCAAAGGGCACAAAAGAACTCGATTGGAATTAAAACCCAAGTTCCCATTCGACACTGACCGTTCTTAGAACACTGGCAAACTGTGCGGATTCCTTCGCTCACGCAAAGGGCTGTCGTGGCCCTGCGAGATAAATGAGTTTGGTAGAATAGTGAACACCAGGCTTTTAAAAAAATGCCGTGATATCTAGCCAAGTTCCCACTTTCTCCCTCCCCTCCCCCTGTTGTTGCAGAGCTGGTACGAGAACGGAACCCCCCCGATGTTTTGGCTGTCTGGATTCTTCTTTACTCAAGCCTTCTTAACTGGCGCCCAGCAGAATTATGCCCGGAAGTATACCATCCCCATAGACCTGCTAGGTTTTGACTATGAAGTGCTGGAGGACAAGGAATACAAGAACCCTCCCGAAGACGGTGAATACAACCCAGTAGTTATTTAATCCCACCAGAGTCTAGAGAGATTGTAGAATATTTCATGCATAGTCCCCATGTTCTCCCTTCATGGAGAGATGCCTATATTTGAAATAATCCCGATTTCATCCTCAGAACAAGGGCGAGGTGGGAGGTTGTGCCGGGCAGTTGCGTCCCGAATCATACGAAGTTGAGCTGGGATGGTGCCCTCGGTGGTGGGGAGCGGCATGGACATGCGGCCAAATGAGGGCAACCCCGGCGGGTTTTTGTTATACAAATAAGATTTCCAGTCAAAAAGAGAAGTCAAGATGAGGAGGAATGTTAATTGATTTTAATTGCAATTAAAACACCTGAAAACAGGCCAAACTTAGCCCATCAAAAATTGACAGCTTTCTGGTCACAATCAGGAAATACATGAAATTTTATACTCTGAGTGGCACAGTTAAGAAGATAATATTCAGAGATCATAACTGGCTACAAAGAACAACACATCAGTTTGGTGTAGTGGTGAAGTGCGCGGACTCTAATCTGGGAGAACCGGGTTTGATTCCCCATTCCTCCACTTGCACCTGCTGGATGACCTTGGGCAAGCCATAGTTCTGGCACAGCTATTCTTGAAAGAGCAGTTCTCGAAAGAGCTCTCTCAGCCCCACCTACCTCACAGGGTGCCTGTTGTGGGGAGGGGAAGGGAAAGGAGTTTGTAAACCGCTCTGAGACTGCCTTGGGTAGTGAAGGGCGGGGTATAAATCCAATCTCTTCTTCTTCTTCGAGTAATAGTCCACTCATTGGTCAAATAGGAAGAAAGGTGTGCCTACATAATATCTTAAATGTTAATTTAACCTAACCTGAATAATATTAATCAAGGATTCTTCGTACCCGAACAAAAAAGTGTTTTTTTTCCTGATATGGAACTAAAATCATTTTGACCCAGACACTGCAGAGTTTTACCCCAAACAACTAAGAAACTATGAATTCTATACCTATCTATCTTCTATACCCAAAGCATGTTGTTTTCTTGTCTGCTAGCATCAGCTAGAAAGATACTCTAACCTACAAGGGAAAGCCTTACTATTTAATAGGCTTTTATTACATCCTAATAAAATTTTAGGAGCTGCGGTGGCTGAAGTGGTTAAGACCCTGAACTGCAGGCTGTGGAAGGTCGGTAGTTCAGCAGTTCGAGACCTGAGTTGCCACATGACGGAGTGAGCTCCCGTCTCTAGTTCCAGCTCCTGCCAACCTCGCAGTTCGAAAGCAAGAAATTGCAAGTAGATAAATAGGTACCCCTTCGGTGGGAAGGTAACAGCGTTCCGTGCACCTCGGTGTTTAGTCATTCCGGCCACATGACCACGGAAACGTTTTCGGACAGTGCTGGGATGAGCACCGCAACCCTAGAGTCGGACTCGACTGGCTTTCGAGCAAGGGAACCTTTACCTTAATGAAATCTTAACATGAGAAAAAATCCATATAACCAGAAAAATATGAATATTTTGAAAGAAATAAAATCATTATATTCCCATTCATACTACATTTTCATGGCAAGAGAGAAGCAGGTGGTTGGCCACTGCATAGCAACAACCCATGACCTTCCTTGGTGGTCTCCCAAGCACCAACCGGGTCCGACCCCGCTTAACGTCTGAGATCTGGCTAACCTGAGCCATCCAGGGCAGGGCTCCGTGCCCTTCATTCTCCCGTTTACCCCCTATGCTACATCATATCCATACATTGTTGAGACATTCTTTAATTCCCAGTGCTGAATGGGGTAATGAATCCATGCATGCAAAACTCAAGAACCCATTCACGTGGTAACCAAGCGATTCCATGAGGGATTCTCTGGATTTCATGGTGGCAGTAATGGTTACACCATGGCCCATCAATCCACCCATTCCTCTTTCACTGGAATAATCAACCTGTAGGATTGCGATATGCAGTAGACCAGGGGTCCCCAACCCCTTTGAGCCCGTGGCCACCTTTGGAATTCTGAGCACAGCATGGTGGGCGCAGCCACAAAATGGCCACCAAAGGAGGTTGAGCCAGCTACAAAATGGCTGCCCCAGCTTACCTTCAGGCACGCCGTGGAAGATCCTTGTACTGTGGTGGCAGCTGCCGCTGCTGCGGCAACAAGGTGTTTAAAAATCTGCAAAGCCAATCAAATCTCCAGCGGCCAACCAGAAGCCCACGTGTCCCAACCCACTTTCCCAAAACACTTGGCGGACACCAGAAAAGATACTGGCAGGCACCATGGAACCGTTGGGGACACCTACAAAAGGTCTGCATTCATGTCTAATCACTGCATGTACAGGCAGACATACAGCTGGTGCAGTCATTGCTGGACTCTGCCCCCTCCCCCCCATATGAAAAAAAATATACAGAACGAGTTTGTATCTCAGTACAATAGCTAAGGTGAAGAAAGGAATTCCTTCAGAGAGCGTTTATCTAACCGTAGGTTATAATCCAACACACCCACACTGGGGGCTTTTAAATATATGCAGCACACATGTTGCCATTGAAGGCACACCGGTTCTCGGCTCACGCACTGACGGTCACTTATTTTAAAATACAGGCGTCTTCATTCACGGATTGTTCCTGGATGGAGCTCGCTGGAACAGGAAGACGAAGAAGCTTGGAGAATCCCACCCCAAAGTCCTGTATGACAATATGCCGGTGGTTAGTATGCACTGTGTCACCTGAACTCAAGCGAAGAATCCTATAGCTTAAAATTTAGGGTTCAGTCTTTTGCATTCAGTGTGATTTTATTTCCAAGTAAGTGTGCATAAGGTCTTTCTTCTGACAAAGTATGCACAGGATTGGAAACGCAGTTGATTCATATATCTGGCTGTGTTGCCCGCTAATACATTGTTCAGTGCCTTGTAACTGAATATTTTACCTGCTTCTACTGAAGACATCTATAGTTGAAATTCCAAATTGCTTTGGGTGATGTTAGGTCTGCAAAGGCTGTTTCACGCATGTATAATGTTACCGGAACAAAATTCGAGTCCAGTAGCATCTTAACACCACAATTTCCCAGGCTATTAAGCTTTCATCTTTTGGAGCTGGCAGAATGTGTTGTGACTCAGGAAAGCTGATACCCTGGGCAATTTTGTTCCTCCTTAAGGGGCTACCGGACTTTTTCCTGTTCTATTACTACAGGCTAACAGCGCTGCCCATTTGAAACAGTTGTTACTAGACCGAAATATAAGACAATTTGAAGCTTGGCGCTGACTGTGCCCCATCAGCATTAGTACACGGCAGCCATTCTAGCCAAGCTGATGAGAGATGCCTGCCATCTAATTCAGTATTTTGGACAAAGCTGCAAAAGAGGATGTGAGATCCACTGAGAGGCAGTCATTAGCGAGCATTTTTGGGGGTTGGGGGAGAAGGGACACACAAGGACCCAGTGATTCTCCTTGCCAAGGCAAACGAGGTAGTGCACGGTCCAGGTGTGGTTGTAGAACACGCTTTCAAAAATGTCCCTTTGCTTCCCCCCCCCCTTTATCACAGATGTGGCTGAAGCCCTGCAAAAGGTCAGAGATTCCCGAGAGACCGAGCTACTTGGCCCCCGTGTACAAGACCATTGAGAGACGAGGAACCCTCTCCACCACCGGCCACTCCACCAATTTTGTGATCGGCATGATCCTCCCGTCAGAACAGCCCCAGCAGCACTGGATAGGGCGGGGGGTTGCGCTGCTGTGCCAGCTCAACTCGTAGTCCAAAAGCTCAATGCATCTGGACAGACGGGACTCAAAGAGTTTTACGATGCCAGTGATTTCTAACTCTTGACTTTTAAAAAATATTTTAAAATGTATTTATTTTGTGTCTTTCTTCATTTGCGAAAAACTTTTAAAAGTCTGTTTAACAAAATCCAAAGACGTCTGTTTGCTTATTCAACTGTTTTATTTCCTGACGTTCCTTATGAATAAGGAACATACATAAGATGAACACAACACCGTTCGACAATGAACAAAAACCGCATTTCATCATTTCCAGCTTTATCTTACTTAAAAAAAAAAAGATTTTTGTTTTTTTAAAAAAACACCAAAAACAAAACAAAAAGAAGAAGCTGATATCTCAAATATCTTTCAGGACCATAATCACATTGTTTCAACCGTAAGGAAAAAAAAAGAAACCTCACTGCTTCCTAGGAGACTACAGTATTTTCTAAGCATAATAATCACAGCTGATTTGAGTGCAGCGTGATTGACATCAAAACTCTCATGGGATGTCACACAGTGACAGCATCGTTAAGATACAAAGAACATTTATGCCCTCCGACAAGCACATGGGTTAACTGAGACTGGACTCCAGCAGAACAGAATGATGAAGGCCAGGTTAGAAATGTAGCGGAATCGCGATTGTCCCAGAGGCGACTGAAAACCTTGCGTCCCAAAGAAAACGGCCTGGGGATTCAATACTCGAGGAGAACGAGAAAAGCTGCGGCGGCTGTATTGCTCGTCACAAAGTGTAACACACACATACACACACGCAAGCGAGCAATGAGGATGCACATCCCATTCTAACGGGAAAGACAGATCTTGCACTTCCCAGCGTGACCTGTGTGTTCACTTTCTGTTCAAAGAAGTATTACTTAACTTTTTGCTTCCCTAAAGAGTCAACGTTAGACTAGAGCACATTCTAGCAAAAATTTTTTTCAAAAGCCACCTGATGTAGCTTTATTCAGTTAGACTAGAGCACATTCTAGCAAATTTTTGTTCAAAAGCCACCTGATGTAGCTTTATTCATAATTACAAAATAAAACCTCAAAAGCCAGGTTCCTCCCTCACCCTTTTTCCCCGACTAAAATCTACTTCAGTGACATCACCCCCCCCCCAAAGCCCCAGTCCTATTTGGCAGATTTAATCATAATTGTGCAGCCAGAGGAATCCGGTAACTTCAACGAGATTTAAACTTGACCCAGAATTGCCTGGATCGGAACAGAAATTATTAGAAAACCCATCAGCAAGGGGCGATCAGGCAAAGCCCAAGAAGCGGGATCCGATGATGCGGTCCTCACACGGCTGCAAGGGTCTGAATGAATTCTGCGCGATCGCCAACGGCAGAAGGGGAGCCCCCCGCCCCCTCGGATACGCCACCGGATCCAACCTGATCCTTAATACTGTACCAAAGAAAGCCTCGATTGGGAAGTCGCGGCGGTCATGTCAAAAAGGAATGACGATAGCGGTTAAATGGAAGGATTGACACTGCAGGCTCAAAGTTGATCATCACTTGGAATGAAAGGCGCTTTCAGCTTTCTGGCCAACTTAATTTTTTAGGAGCCCAACAAGGCGACGTGAGCTCAGCTTTTGTACCTACTCAGAATGCAGCTGAGCTTGTCTACGGAGATCGGGACAAAGACAGAAGGAGAGCGGAGAGGAGTCAGCCGCCGTGTTTTGCTAGCGCTGTTAAGACTGTATCAGCATCACGTCAGAATGGGAGAGGAACAGGGTTTGCTCTCCTTGTGAACTCACAATACAAGCATGCGGAGGAGACTCAGCTGGACCAGGGAAATACACGCTTGCTTGGCACGAACGTTAAAGCTTTCCCCCTGCAGGTTAAGGCTTTTTGGCGGAGCCCATCCTACCGGTCAACAGGCACCACTATGAAGACGGCAAAAGCTGCCTTGCCAGAAACTAAGGGATAGAGCCTAATGTTCTCTCCATGGTTGGGCTCCTTCCCGTAACATTCCACAGTCACAGGAACCCTCCGGTCATGTAGGAGAAGACAGCAGTGTGGCTGCATCATCCAGCTCCCAGGAAGGAGACAGCTTAGGTGGGAAACCACTCTATCGTCCCCTTCCCTGTGACCATGGGATTCCTGCATTACTGAAGAAGCGCCCCCCGCCCCCTTAACACAGGAATAAACCCAGAAGATCCCTACAACGTAACAAAAACTTAAAAACACAGCCCACGCAGCATGTCCTGGAAGCAGCTCTCGTTTAACATGGTCCCAGTTCCCAGCACTGATGGGTACTCTAAGCTCAGGGGGCAAGGCATGCCAACGTGATACATTTGGAACTGTTCCCAGGGAGTTGTGTAAACAGTCACCAGGACCGCCTCCAAGGGGCGCTGCTGCGCTCCTTGGATCACCGCTTATAAAGGGAGAACCTATTTGGCCATTACAACCACGGAAATCAAAACACGGCTGCTCCGCGAGAGGAACAAAGCGACAAACTCACAACACATCCTGTCAGTAGTTCAGGTCTCAAGAAGCCCCTGTTATGTATTAAAACTATTCCAGGAAAAGGCCAGAGAGAACCCCCCCCCAAATCTTGTCAGTATTAACTATTCAGCATTTTGCTAACAACATCTACGAGCTAACATCAAATACGTAAAGCTTGTCATTCCCCACCCGACCCCCATTTTGGACGACACGGGCCTCTGGGGCTCGATGCAGAAGCTTGTGTTCCTGGTGCTCCGTGGGCTTCAAAGAAGACAAAGTACAGCATGACAAGAACTATTCCCCGCTGTGAAGCTACGGAGCTGCTTGCAGAAGGGAGCGTCACTGTGCCCTGGGGGGTAGGATAACGGGCCCTGTGTGACAACGCCCAGCCAATTGGCAAGGAAACTGGCCGTCCAGTGTGGGGACCGGGAACAAAGCTTCTCTTTGCTCAACAGCCATTCCGCACAGATCAAAACAGATGATAGGAGAGTCCTGGGAAGTCACGGGCCACAGCAAACACAAGGCTCGGTAGCATCTCAAATGCTCATACTGCTGCAAGACTATCAACGACAACATGCATGAGCATTTTGTAAAAAAAAACCCTGGAAAACAGCCCACGCAGAGTGCTTCCTAGTCATGCACCAACAGATTTATTTTTCTTGCGTGGGGGGGGGGAAGGGGGCCAGCTCTAAGCAGGAGCCTCTGGCAAGGGCAATGGACTGTTTCCGTCTGCCACCAGGGCCCCGCCGAGAAGCACGTGTCAGCATTTGCTCAAGTATAAAAATGAACAGCCTTCTCAACTAGGGGCTCCGGCTTCTGCCGCACACTGCAGTGGACGAGTGGAGAACGACGAGTGGCCGCATTTCCTGCTTCCGACGCGGCCTGCTGAAGATGTGGGCCTTACCTTTGAGAAGCTGCTCCACACATTCAAGTCAGGCCCCTTTCCCGTTTGTCTGTTTGAGCGAGAAAGCAGGAGCTTGTTTGCGCAGACACCAGAACACTGGGCTTGTAAGCGGCGCAAGCCACTGGTCTGCCTGGGAACGCCGTGGATACAGTACAACAGTGTGGACTGGAAGCCGTACAGGTAATGGTGTGGTAATCGCAGCTGAGTACTGGGAATGGTCAAAACTGGATGTCCAACACTATTTTGTCTTCATAGAGGGCGATCACCAGCATGATGGCGAACCCCAAGAGAAGCCCTAAATTCTGGAGGATGAACTGCCCCACCGGACAGTAGCCGTGCTCTTCGTTGTCGCCGTCGCCGTGGAGCATCTCTGGAAGCTGGAAGATACAGAAATAAGAGGAATATTCGTCAAGGGCATCCATTCGCGAGACTCCTTGGGAAAGGCACCAGCACCGGAGAGCCTCACACATGGTTCCGCTATGTGCATGTCTGCAGAGTGAGCTGTCAATGTTACACTCTTTTTGTGTGTGTGTGTGTAGTGATTAAGTGCACGGACTCTAATCTGGGGTTTGATTCCCCACTCCTCCACTTGCAGCTGCTGGATGACCTTGGGCAAGCCATAGTTCTGTCAGAGCTGTTCTTGAAAAACAGCAGTTTCTGTCAGAGCTCTCTCGGCCCCACCTACCTCCCAGGGTGTCTGTTGTGGGGAGGGGAAGGGAGTTTGTAAGCTGCTCTGAGACTCCTTTGGGCAGTGAAGGGCAGGGTATAAATCCAATCTCCTCCTCTTCTTCTCTCAGAGCTGTTCTCTCAAGGGCAGTCCTCGAAAGAGCTCTCACAGCCCCACCCACCTCCCAGGGTGTCTGTTGTGGGGAGGGGAAGGGAAAGGAGTCTGTAAGCCACTCTGAGACTCCCTTGGGTAGGGCAGGGTATAAATCCAATCTCTTCTTCTTTTAAAAAAGGAACCTGTAATTGCCGGATAGTGCCAATATTAACGGGGCCAAAGAGAGCAAAACGCCAATTCTATTTTACACCTGAATTAATGATGACGACTCCATCAGGACTGTACTTCCTTGGTGCCACTCGACCCATTACGGGTTCAAAGTCACCAATCAGAGCATTTTCTGGCTAGGGCTCCACGAATGACAGCGACCGCCAGTGGCACCAGTTCTGCGAGCTCTCCGCCCTTTTGGCAGGGGAGGAGCTGATTCCCCTTCCTCCCTCCTTGCTAAAAAAAGGGAGAGGGTGCCATTTTCATGTCGGATGGCTTGACGTGAGAGGCGTGCAGCCTTCGTCGTCACAAAGGGACTGCAGATACGCAGGGTGCCCCTGCAGATCTCCAAGGAGCCCCAGTGTGAAAAATGCTGCTAGAAAAATAGAAACGTGGTGCCGGAAGGTACCACGAGGATCATCGAGTCCAGCCGCCGGCACAACGGAGGAAATTCGCAACTACCCCTCAAGGTCCCACTGACCCCTGCTCTATGCCCAGAGAAAGGCAAAAAAGGCCTTCAGGATTCCTGGCCAAACTGGCCTGGAGGGAAATTCTTTCCTGGACCCCGAGGTGTGATTGGCATTACCCTGGGCATGTAAGAAAGAGCCAACGAGAGCGGAGCACTGACTCATCCCTCTCGTGATCTGCTTCACGCAATCAGCATTGCTGTCAGGTGGCCATTCAGCCTCTGCTTAAGAAGTTCCAAAGAAAGAGAGGCCGACCTCCCAAGGAAGCCCGTCCCACTGAGGAGGAGGAGGAGACTGGATTTATACCCCATCCTTCACTACCTGAAGGAGACTCAGAGCGGCTTACAAACTCCTTTCCCCTCCCCACTCCCCACAACAGACACCCTGTGAGGTAGGTGGGCCTGAGAGAGCTCTTTCGAGGACTGCTCTTGAGAGAACAGCTCTGAGAGAACTTATGACTGACCCAAGGTCACACCAGCCGCTGCATATGGAGGAGTGGGACATGGTTCTCCCAGAATAGAGTCCACGCTCCTAACCACCACTCCAAACTGGCTCTGTCAGGAAGTTATTCCCTAATGTTTAGCGAAAAAGTCTTTTGATTTAATTTCAATCCCAACCTTCTGGAGCAACATCTTTATATAAGAGCTCTTCAAATTCTTGAAGAGGGCTATCCTGTCACCTCTCAGCCATCTCCTCTCCAGGCAAAACTTATCCAGCTCCTTCAACCTTTCCTCCTAGGACTTGGTCTCCAGACCCCTCACCGTCTTTGCTGACCTCCTCTGGACACGTTCCAGCTTGTCTCTATCCTTCTTAGACTGTGGTGCCCCAAACGGAACCCAATTCTCCCAGCGAGGTCTGAGCAGAGCAGAGTGAAGCGATGCTATCCCTTTGCTTGATCTGGACACTACACATTTATTTATTAATTAAATTTCTACCCCACCCTCCCGCCGAAGAGGCTCAGGGCGGCTTACGTACAATTTAAAACCAGCAAATACAAGATATAAAATACAACTCCATAAAATTCCAATAGATACAATTAAGCTGAATAAATACAGCGGCATCCTGTAATAAAACGCTAGTGTGACCCAACCGGTGCAGTCAGTTCTTATTGGAACACCTGGCGAAACAGCTCCGTTTTCACGGCTCTACGGAACTGCTGGAGGTCCTGTAGAGCTCTGATCTCATTAGGGAGCTCATTCCACAGTATTGGCGCCACCAGGGAAAATGCCCTGGTCCTAGTTACCGCCAGCCTGGCGTCCCTAGGCCCAGGGGGGCCCAGGTGGTGGTGTGTTCCAGACCGCAGTGCTCTCGGGGGAACGTATGGGGGAAGGCGGTCAGTCCCTCAGGTAGGCAGGCCCCTGACCATTAAGGGCTTTAAAGGTCAAAACCAGCACCTTGAAGCGAATCCGGAACGCTATTGGAAGCCAGTGCAACGACTTCAGCACAGGCTGGATGTGCTCCCACCTGGGGAGGCCCATCAACAGCCTGGTTGCCGCGTTTTGCTCCAACTGCAGCAGCTTCCGGAGTTGCCCCAAGGGCAGCCCCATGTAGAGAGCATTACAGTAGTCTAGCCTCGAGGTGACCATAGCGTGGATCACTGAAGCCAGATCATTGCGTTCGAGGAAGGGGACCAACTGCCTAATCAGCCGAAGGTGGTAAAAGGCTGCCTTGGCAGTGGCTGCTACCTGGGCCTCCATTGTCAAGGAAGTATCCAGGAGCACTCCCAAACTCCTGACCCTCTGTCGATGCAGCCTGAAACCACATTTCCCTTCTTAGCTACTCTTAACAAGTAAAGTGGCAGAGGGTAACGAGGGGGAGGCCCTACAGTCCACTTACCATGTCCACCAGGGCCACGTAGAGGAACATGCCGGCAGTGATGGCGAAGATCCAGAGCGTGATGTTGTTGGCGTACTGCCCCACAGCCGTCCCTATCAGCATCCCCACGTAAGCCATCATGGCCGAGAGGAGGTTGTAAACAATAGCCTGCTTCACAGTCATGCCCGCTTTCAGAAGCACAGCAAAGTCCCCTGGAAGACAGAAATTCGGGTCACTGAGGGCTTGTTCGGGCTGAGCAGAGAACCTGGCTTGCCCGAGGAAAAGCAAACGGTACTTTAAAGAGCCCTTTCTGTATAAAGAAAGCAGCTTTATAAGAGAGGGGGTTTGAAGCAACGTGCCATTTGTGTCAGTTACTTTATAGATCTAGTGTTAAAAGTGAGCTGGGAAAAGTACAGAGGAGGGCAACCATCAGGCCCGCAGCCATGGTGGGGCATGTCGGGGCTCTGCCCCCTCCAATGCGAGGCATGCCCCACAACAGCTACTGCCCGTCTCGACCCTCTCCCCCCTCCCGTGACATTAAAAGGGCCCTCTAGCAGATCGGTGGGAGCACATGGCCTGCCAGTCAGCTCAGCTGTAGGGCCCTTTAAATCATGTGGCCACCCTTCTCCCTCCCTCCCCTCCCCCAGGATTCAAAGGGTCCTCCAGCTGACCAGAAGGCCCTTCCAGGGGAGGGGGAGGGGGGGCTGCCGATCGCATGCCTTCCCTGGTCTCCGAGCCACGAAACTGCTGCTGGGAGTTCAGGGAAGCCATGCGGCCGCCCTTCTCCCTCCCTCCTCCCCTGCGGCCGCACAAGGTTCCCCCGTGCCCCACCAACCCAAAATTTCTTGCTACAGGGCTGGCAACCACGATGATCAGGGCTCTTCTTATGTTCTTAAACGGCAGCATCATGATTGCAGCATTCCCAAACACGCTTCTACTGAGATATCTGCCATTTTGACAAAGGGGTGGTGGTGGTTTCATCCCACGCTAATGGCACAAATGGTGCAGGACTGGGCAGCTCACTATCTATCTGCTACTAAGGGAAACAGGGATGTGGACTGCAAACATAACTCAGCTGCAGCAGCAAGCGAGAGAACACAAGTTAAAAAAGTCATATAAAGGCCAAAGCTGCTAGACATCCTCTTAAATCCAGGATGTGATAGCTCAATCCTTTGGGGTGGTGGTTTCATCCCACGCTATTGGCACGAATGGTCCAGGACTGGGCGGCTAACTACCTATCTGCTACTAAGGGAAACCAGGGATATGGACTGCAAACATAACTCAGCTGCAGCGTCAAGTGAGAGAACACAAGTAAAAAAAGTCACAGAAAGGCCAAAGCTGCTAGACATCCTCTTAAGTCCAGGATGTGATCGCTCAATCCTTTCCTGCAATCCCATAAAGCTACAGGATGAGAGTGGAGCTTCGATAAAGCAGTCTGCATAGAAGTTCCTAAGGCAGCAGAGGGCACGAAGCAGCCAGAGAGAACAGAAACTGTGCCCTGAGTCCTGGACAGCCCAGGTAAGCCCGATCTCGTCAGATCTCAGAAGCTAAGCAGGGCTGACCCGGGCAAGTATTTGGATGGGAGACCTCCACAGAATACCAGGTCCCAGAGGCAGAGGCAGGCTATCAAGCCTCTGAACGTCCTCCGTGCCCCACTAGGGGTCACCAGAGGTCACCATGACTTCCAGGCATGGACACGCACAAACACACAAGCAAAATACCAAAAAAAGAAAAGGAAAAGAAATTGTTAAAGCAAGTGGCTCATCATCCTTGAGACATGACGGATGGGCACTTTTGACACTCCAGATATGGAGATGCAGTGATCTGCACTTAAGCATGTTAAGGCATGCAATGTTTGCTGAGCACAAGTAGGAATATACCATTTTAAGGGATGCTCCTTACAAACGGGTAGCATAAAGTTTAGCGACAGGGATCCGTCAAGCCAGCTATATGAGTGTGCATTCGGTAAAGTCGAACTGAAAAAATATAACCTTTTCGGCATTTTTCGGGTATTCGACATACCGAATCAGATTCCCTGAGCTGATTCGGCTGCCAAATACTGAATGATGGAAAACCACCCCCCCAACAAGCACTACTCCACGC